CTTCCACCGCAACTCCTCCCTCTTCTTATTACTCCTATCATTTTATTTTTTTTTTTTTTTGTTATTATAAGATGGTGATGATTGATTTCTTATCAACATGAAAAGTTTTATTGTAAAACATTACACCAGTTCAACTGATGATAAGTAACAAGTTGAGTGCAACATTATTAAATATATATATATATATATATATATATATCAATTATTTATTTAAAAAATAAAATAAGTAATATAAATAATATAGTTTTTTTTATTGGCTATTTTCAAATTTTCCCTTCACGCTTATTTCACCAATTAATTAATGTAATGAAATTAAAAATACTGAAACAAGCAATATTCAACGAAAAAAATCAAGAAATTTTTTATATTTATATATTTTTTCGAATTCAAAAAATATATATGTAAATTTTTTTTTCACATCTATCTATATTTCCAAATTTAAAACTTCCATTTTTAATTTCCGCCTTTCAATTTCCACTTAAACAAATTAAACTCCTTTTGAATATTGCGAATCACGATTGAAATTCAAATTCCGCTCGCTACTAAATTTAATAAAATCATCTACCATACATTTTTTTAAATTAACTAAATAGCCAAACAATTATGCTATTATACATACAACAACAACAAATCACCATTTCATCTCCCATCTTATTCGTTTGTTCACTTTTTCGCAAAACCAGCTAACTAGAAATAAAGCAAATCTCTCTCTTACAAACAATAATGACAATAATAATGATAACCCTTCACACAATGAAATATCACGTGAAACCGACTTGCACAAATTTATATAATAAAATTTACTAAGCAAAAAAACATTGGTGTTGGTCTTGTTTTAAATGATATCATTTTGTTTAAAGGAACATTTTAATTGATTTCGTTTGTTTATAACAAACATTTTAATAGATAACTAATTTATATTGAAAAGAGAAAAAGAGAATGAAATGAATTATGAATTAGGGTTGTGTTGGTCCAGTCCGGTCCGGTCTCGGTCCCAAAAGACCGGTCTTTTTTTGAAAGACTGAAGGACCGGTCTTTAGATGCGGTATTTGGGACTGGTTAAAGACTGGTATTTGGGACTGGTTAAAGGTCGGTATTTGGGACTGGTTAAAGATTGTTTAAAGGATTTTGATGTGAATCACATATTGCAAAGTAGCTTTTTGGTCGATCTTGA